ATAAGTATATCTGAGATGATTTATTCATGTCTGTGAACGGTGTGAAGGTTTTGTAAAAGTCTGAAATATAAAACAGATTAATTCTAATGCCTTTGTTTGTATTTATTTAACATTAATTGATCATGCATTGCACATTTGCTGCTTTCTAAACGATGAATGTTAGCAAATTCATAGAAAATATCCCATTTCAATAATATACGTGGCTGTATGTTTTTTTAATTGTTAAACGTTATTTGCTATAATTTTAGTAGGATTTAATTTATTAAAATCTTAAAACAATGTTTTGTTTATCATATTCATATGTTAAAATTATATCAATATTTGTATCCGAAAACACCTTTAATTCATTTTGTGTTTTATATCAAGCAAACAACCTCTTAAAAAACTCAGAAACCGTTTTAATTCTTTATTGACATTGTATTTTTGTAATACCATTGTGTTTTACGCTATTACTTTTTCGTTGAATGCACATGTGTAAAATACTGAGTTTTATTGAACGACGACACAACTGTAAAACCTAGCGTCAAAATAGGCTTTGCATCAGTTTATGAGTTTAATAGAATCAGTATTCAACCATTTGTAATGATTCAATCAATTGTAAAGGAAAAAAATGTGCATACCATTATGTTTATTGTTTAACTTATATAAATTTCTGAGGAACTGAAAGCACATGATTGATTTTATATAAGATTTTGTCTGGAAAAAAACGTGTGGTGATTCTTAACAACATGGAATTTATATCTGAACTCAAATAATGCAAGCGAGGCTACATAGAGTACAATATGAATTTGATATGATTTATAGACCCTGAAAAGGAAATCAAGCTAAATTGATCGAACCAATAATGATTTAAATGAGAAGAAATAGTGAATTTAATGGAATTTGACGGATAACAATTAATGATATGTGAGATACATATTGTATTTTATACTGTTTTTAACTAATTTATTATCATATTTTTCGACTTTGTATGAGAGTGAGTTACTTAAGAATCGTTCGTGTTTCAGACTTAAATTAAAACACGTGTTTTAGACTTAGATTAAGACACTCATAATCATATGAATCTTTCAAAAGATGTATTTTAAATAAACGATGTTCTGTTTAATATGTTATTCTTATTATTGTTCTTATTTTATTTTGTTTTTAAATTATTGTTTTATTCCCCTTTCACTTATTATTCTTACGTGAATTTATCTTTTGAATGGTAAATGCACTACCTTATATTTTTATTATCGCTTTATTAGTTAGTTTAACATAGTTACATTGTATACATAAGCGATAGAATATGTTTGTGATTGTTTGAAATACTAAAAAAACACACGCAAGAAAAGTTATAAAACTCATAAAGTTCTTGCTTGTAGATGTGTAAATATTGTATCAAAGCAGTGGAAATTGTTTATCTGTAAAACGAAAAAGTCATTATTTTACTTTGCAGCATTCATGTACTGACGTAGATTTCTTGTGTTCGAAATACCAAATGTAATGCTAATAAACGTTCCATGAAGTGAACTTGATTAGGGATGGTATCTGTGCCACATTAGTTCAATTGCTTTGGATGCATTGGCAAAAAGATATTTAATCTTTGTTGTAGTCACAGAACCATTTTCTGAATAATTGTTAATCTATATTGGCCTATCCTTTCATTTTAAATTTTTAGGAATTGTCTAGTGATCTAAGTCTTATCATATTAAATTTTGTAAAACAATGTTCAAACGCAAAATAATTGCAGCATATTATGCTATTTTATTTTAAACTGTGTGTTTATAGTTAAATTACTTTATAATCTTACATGTACTTGTGTTTAAGCAAATATAGTTTGTAGTGTTTTATGTTGATTTCTTCTTAAGGCGGTTTTAGGGGGCCAGGACGGTAGCTTGAACGTTCCAGTTCCAGGACCCATCACGAACATGAATCATACCTAGTCGGCAACATTTTAAATTCTGTCGTTTTGGGCGTTCTTTAAGGATTCCGTTTTTTTTATAATTATTAAAAACATTATAAACACTATCACTTCCCAAAACAAATCATAAAAAGCGTTATTTTAGCAAGAAAAAAACCCATACAGAATCACACTCTGTCAACTTCGCAAAACATGACTTGATTACTAGTCGTTGTTCCGTTTACCTTGATCTATATATAGAAACAAGCCCGAAAACGTATCTATTACTTAGCAATTAAGTGTACTTATAGCTCAATAGAGATTTGCTTTGCCAGTAAATGTCACATATGCGATTCTTTATCAGTCACGCAATATAAAATACTTGTCACTTTATGTTATATGACGATATTATCCATGTAGCCTTTCGAGGCAGCTTCAGTCTGGTAGTTTTTGTCAGTCTGTTAATATTGTTGGAAACTGAATTGTTAAACTATAATATAATTTCTTGTTTCCTTATACACATCCTTAATTCATTAAACGTTTAAGTTTGATGAACCTTTTATCAGTTCAATGTGACAAAAACAACAACGCACACCAAAAATGTCACCTAAATACATTTTGATTAAGTGATTGTATATGATATCTGAACTAATGTAAGTTTGCTACAATCCAACGTCTGCCATATTCCCAGTTGTTTTTGTTGTTTTATTCACAAGAGATGTTCCTTTTCTGTTCTCGGAATTAATTTCACATTCAATACTTGTCTGCAATATCTGATTATCGTTGTTTGAAATATGTTGCACTTTTCTGTTTCCCTCGGTACAGTCAGAAATAAAAGACATCTGTCAATTTCACGTTTTTATTTTCATTTGTCGTGAAAGATTTCTCTTTGGGCCATTTTTTAAAAATATTTTTCCTAAGTTTTTTTTTTTTAAAAAAAAGGGGTTTCGGGGGTCCCAATTTATATTTTCGCAAAATTTTTTTTTTAATATTTCATCATCTACTTTTTCTGATGAAAAACCCCTTTTTTAAATTGTTAATTGTATATACTTATAACAGTATTAAACGTAGGAAAGAAGAAAACGAGGATGTGTGGATATTTAATTGTAAAAATATGATGCTTTTGTTTGTTTGCTATTGTTTTTTTTTCTGAAAAGATTTGTTGTATGTTATTATCAAGCGATGTTTGTACTTTACTTTTTAGGTTTTTTTTCTTTTTCTTCTTTTTTTCCATAACTGAACACTTCGATGCACCCATTTATGGCAAGTTTCTATAACAAAATTACCAATAATGTAAGTCAAGGGCTAGAAAGAGGGGGCATATGTGTCGTTCAACATTTCTTGTTCTATTGTAATTTTACATAGCATCCACATTCATTTACAATCACTAATTGTCTGTTTCCATATCACTAAGGAACATTTTGTTTTACAAATTAACGCCGTTCGTAGTATAATTGCATATTTAGAAGTTCTAATTTCCTTGAATTTTCAATTTGTGATAAAAATAGATACTTATATTGTGTATTGTACGACCTCATTAAAAGATTCGATATGAATTTTATTGTTATTGCACATATACTTCAAGTAATGTTATTATTTAGAGCAATATATAGCAAATAAATTAATCACATAAATTGGTAAGTGGTACAAGTTATTTTCTTTGCAATTACAAAAAAAAAATAGTTGTAATATTCTTTTTCTAGAAATTGATAATTAGGTGTTACAAGATTGTCTTATCTCTTACTTAAAAAAACAACCTAGAAACCCTGACGGGCCAAAAACTTTAATATTAAATAAAACCTTGGCTGCTGCATTCTGAAATCGGTACAACTGTTATCGCCTTAGATATGTGGATACATGACAATTTCATATTGATTCCTTTTTTATTTTAGCAATGAAAAGTTACAATCGGCACCCTTATGTCAATATTGACAATTGTGTTACAGTCATACAAACACAAAGTAAGGTGTGATGTTAAACACAACGTTAACACGTAAGGGTAATGTCAAGACATAATCACCGTAATGTATATATAAAAGAATCGTTTTTGTCATTTACCACATTTTACATCAATGATAGTAATATGTAAGTTTTCTGTCTAGGAAATACGCTTCTACAGGAACTCCCTCAACGCCGCATCGTTTATTAGATTAATTTAAGAACTGTAGAATGTGTTTTCCAAGGAGACATGCCAGAAATGATGCAATGTTCTGTCTTTATTTGTATGTACGATAGAGGTTTTAGAACAAAATATATGTAAGCAATTTCTCAAGACGTCTATCTGGCAGTATTTTATTTCCCGAAGTAAGTAATAGAATTGTTAAAATAGAGAAAACTTAAAGATGAATTGGAAATTGTCAATATCGTTTTACCTGACGTGTGTAATTTGTTTAAGAATGTCGTTATAAATTGTTCCTTGTGTGTGCTTGAAAGTATTTTACGATTTAAATGTTGAATTGTAGGTATACTAACACAGAGCAACGGAAGCATCCCGGTGCTAATGCTTAATATTCTGAATAAATATTATGACTTTGTTAATTCTGATTAGGAACTTAAAAACCCTAATTAGGAAAACAGCGCCATAATGAGGAATTTCTAACACCAAAATAAAATTTAGAAAGTCATAATAAGGGGACTTAAAATCCTTTCTAGCTTATTTTCTAATTAGTAGTTTTCAAGACCTAATTAATAGTAAATGTCCTAATAAGGACTGTGTTATACCCAGTTAGAAGTTTTTAAAGCCTAATAAGGAGAAATAAAATCCTAGTTAGGACTTTGTTACCCCTAATTAAGAGACAAGACTTCTAATTAAGACAAGAGAATAATAATTAGGTTTGTCTTTCTCTTAATGAGTTGTTTATACCAAGTGCTAATAATTATTTTATTTTTTCCTGATTAGGTTTTTGTTTTTCAAACTGCTTAATATTATTGGTTGTATACCAAATATAAATAACGATTTAATTTCTCTTAATTAAATTTCTTAACTTTATAATTAGGAGATACTAAACATGTTATAATTGTTTTCTTTTTATATCCTATATGAAAGTAAATTCATGATGAAATATTCAATTATAAAGTTGAAATAAGAGAACAACTCAGTTATATATTACAAAAATATATTTAATCTCTTTATATTACACATGAATGTAACAATATAACTTAAATATGTACATGCGTAAGTAATAATTAGCTTCTCTTTATATACATAAGATGAAGATGAGCAAAATCGACAAGTTTGCATCAGATTTAGTTTCATAAAATGATTATATGGAGAGCAAAGAATAGAATCTATTCTTTCATCAGGTATGGTAGATAGCATTATCTTATTTTATAATGATGCGTTAACAAAACATTGAAACTATTCTGTCAACATTTGCATCATAGGATTTAATAAACCAATTTCTATATTCTATATGTTTGTATTTACTCAGTGATAAGTTTTTATGCCTGTTTCAGACTCAAAACAATATCTAGAGTCGATATATTACGGTTTACGAAATATACTATCAAATTTCCAGTAAATAATTTACATCGGAATGAGACATTTTTATACTTATGAACATGCACATGTGCTGCTTTAACCGAGCATTATTATCCGATTAAAAACGAATTTTATATATAATTTTTTTCCATTATTAACACACAGACAAAGTGTATCTTTGCGACAATCGACAAACACTTTTTATTTATAGAATTTGTCTTAGAGCTGCACTTGTGTGTCGAGTTGTATGTAAATGATTTGAATGTAGAACAATTGCTACCGAAAGTGTATAGTAATATATGACAAAAATGCTAGCAAATGATGTAAACGTATAAGTTTATATATTTGTTTTATATGAATATCTGTTTGCCCAGAATATCTTGGATATCCTCCTTGCGTATCTGACCCGCCATGCGTGTAGTCCTCGTTTTCTATAAATATATAATAAAATGTGATAAATCTAAGTTATGTTATCAAAGTTTTCTTGTTGAATTCCATTTTGTCCCTATTATTTAAACAGATTATTTATTATCAAATAAACTTAAACAAGTGATAATTAGTGCTATAAATTGATATATTTAATAAGTTATTTTTAAATCAATTATAGACTGCTAGAAATGTTTGGCGACTTTCAAGCCTCCACAATTAAGATCGAATGTGATCTAAAGGCATGGGTGGCACAAGGCAGAGAACCTTCTGTTTTCAGTTAGCACTTTTGACAGAGTATCCATATAAAAAGTCAAAGGTACAATACACATCGAATCCACAACGATAGGGAACAATTGTTTTTAACTAATAGACTGATATACGTATTGTATTGCATATAAAAGTAGCATTTTGAAATTGCCATGCCGACTTTTATACACATCTATACGAATTTGGACTTTTTTAATGTAGTAAAGTATAACATACCTCGCTTATCTTTCCGGTCTTTGTCTGTTTAAGGAAAACACATATATTAATTAACATTGCAATATATAGGTTTAATAAAAATAATAATGCTAGATCGAGTACTCTTCAAAAAAAGTGTTAACCTTTCTAAATGCTTTAAAAAACAAAAACAAAAAACAGAAAAAACCTAAGACGTGATCATTTTTTATTGAACCAATAAGATGTATGTACAGGAAAAATATTTGGGAAACTTATGTAACTTTTATTTATACGAACTCGGCAACCGTGAAAACAAGTTCAAATATAATTGCACGTTTTGGTACATATTATATTGTAAACAGTGCACTGTAAGGTGACGACGTTAACTACAAAATGTGTCCTACGTATTTATTTAAGAATACAATTATTCATTGAACTAATTTGTTACGTAAACACGTTTACTGAATGTTTAACTGCTTAAAGTTGAACCATACTGGAAAATATTAATATATACAGGTCAGTAATTAATCAGCAACAAAAATGATGCTGGAATGGTCCAGACAGTTTTGCAATGTTTCGATCGCTTTTAACAAAAGTCTTACCATTTATACTGTTAATAACGTCTACTTTAAATGTAGCCGTCATCAGTTCTGGTGTCACGCAGACGAACGTTCCTGTATCATCCATATATGATTTTTCAATCGTCAGTTTGCTAACTATCATATTTGATCTATATGAAATTTGCTTTTCAATTCGTATGTCTCCTCGTGTTTCTGTACTAAGAACATTCCCTATAAATAAAGTATTATTTAAGTTTAGAAATCGGCTGATAATTTTAATATAAATACAGTCCGTTATGCACTTCACTAATTTAGAATTAGATTCCCATAATTAAGTTTGTTATAAGGGAGGAGGATAAACGTGAATACATGTATGACATTGTTATAATGTTTAATTTAATTAAAGTATATAAAGGTATACTGATGAAAAAAATCTTTGAAACTTTAAAAACAGTACGATTATATTGTTGTCATTACCGTATCTCCGTTTCTTAAAACCGTTGGTGCATAAGAGTGTCATTTACTTTAACAAATATACCCGATTGCCAGTTTACATGTATATATAAGTATATTTGTAAAGTATATATACCATCTTTGTACCAGTCAATACTGTCTGGTGGCGAGTTTTTCCCTGATGCATTACATGTAAGATGTATACTTTGGCCTCTTTCTACAACTCTAGTCCCTGTAATTGATATTTCTGAAAATAACGCAGACATGATATTTATCAGAGACATGGATCCAAGATTACTTGGAAATAGATGAAATGTATTGTTAATAAAGACTAATTTGTTTAAAGAGCTATTAAAAGTTCATTATATTGTAATTATTGAAAATAAAAATCTATTGCAAATCGTTCGATAGGACTTATTATTAATGGAAGAAGTGTTTACGGTTTTGTTACAAATTAATAAGCACGTTTTTTCTAGTGTGTTAAAGAAATCAAATATCAAAACACGTGTATTCTCTGGTAATATAAGATGATATCGATTCAAGAAATTATAACATCATTGGGTTACAGATATACTGATATTAACATTAATTTTTTTTCTGATTGTTGTTGCCTTGCCGTTTCTTTCTTCAAATAAAATTTTTTTAAACTAGTTACATTTCTTGGAAAAAAATGTTTAAATCTATATCCATTTTTTGTAAAATTACAAAATACTAAATTTATGCTGCTTTCATAATGTTAAAGTCTATACTCGGAATAGTTGTAACGTAGAATGTTTCTCCTTTTTTAACACAGTGAAATATATACGTAAGAAGAATACAAAGTTCGGAACAAAATATTATGCTGCATTTCAAAAGTACAATTTAACCATTTATGATCACTGATTTTAATTTATGCATGCACCATTTGCACTTAGAGGCAAACACCAACATATTTTTGTACATACATGTTGGGGCTAGTTTTTAGAACAACAACAATATTTTTTGAGTCTGCTTGTAGTAGCAGAGATACAGTTTTATATACTTTGAACAATTTACATAAACGATTTAAAAAGTATGTGTTAAGAGAAGAAACAATAATAAAAACTAGAACCTGGTTTATATAGTCCACTGCTTTCTAAAACAGAAAAAAGGAAACAATTCGTTTAGTAATTTTTCTAATTTACTAATGATATGTTTTTCTTACAGTATTTAATGATACAGTACATTCTTAAGAAAGGATATGAAAATGTAACTGTTTTACATATATATTCCTTTCCAGTTTGTTAAAAGGAATTGAAGATATTAATATATGCTAAATTAAATAATTAAATTAGGCAAGAAAGGTTCATTGTCGACATAAACATTAATAACTTTAAAAAGTACATAATCATGTTTTTATAACGTAACACTAAAGTACGACATACCTATGACATTCAAAGTAATATTTCTTCTTAAAACCTTTTTTGTTGAGCTAATCTGGCATTCATATGTACCCGCATCGAATGGCTGGACGTTCTTTATAAGAAGATTCCATTCTTCTCGGTATGGAACATGACTTAAATAAAATCTGTTTATTTCTACAAATTGCTCTTGACCCACTGTAATTGGTATGATATAAGGTTGTTTCCTCCATATTACCTTTCAATGAAATGGAATAACTGAATGATTATAAATATACGTAGAAAAGATATCGCATCAAATGCATACCCAAAATGTTTGATTGCAGAGGATATTAATTTTGAATGACAAATGCTTTGCTAAAATTATTTATATTTGATTCAGCAGCGGCTTAAGACTGTAAATTTCTCTTGGAATCAGATATTTAGATATTATGCTCTTATGCATAAAGTAAGGTAGAAAAATAGTTCAAAGAGATTACATCGATGTTTGTTTTTTACATGACGGGACTAGACATATTTTGTGAAGATAGTCATTTGATATAATTCTATACCAATAACTCATATACAAAAGTTCTCAATCCGAATATTTATTCTAGTTGTGCAAAAGGACGTAGAATTGAAAAGTGCCAAGTTTTTATTTTCGGAAATCGGGCTTCAAACCATTAATAACGATTTTTAACTTATTTCTTAAGTATATATTTTAATATTGTTATATCTTTCTGTAGAAAGTGTACCAGCTGATCTATGTACGAAAATTAGATTTTATGTTTATAGATTTTGGAGACCTCAGCGGAGTTCTTTTTACTTCAAACAATAAACAAACCACATTTCAGTGCAAACCAGCATAATTTCCTTTCAACATACCGTTTTAGTTCCAAGGTTTTCAACCCTGCAGTATAATATTGCTAGTCCGCCTTTCTCGTACGTCACATTTGTAGGAGTAGGGTAGAATTTCGGGGGAAGTTTTCGTCTTGGAAATTCTGGAATTTACACAAACAGAATTAGAAAAATTAATAACTCTTGAAGAAAAGACATTTTCGAAGTGTGTTAGGAGTAATTGTTGCTATAAACTGAACTCAAGAATAAAAATATCAGTATATATGAATTAATAATGTGATAATGTTCAAACATTTTGTTACCATTTTTTTGTCTTAAAGGAATGAAATAACTGTTGAAAAATTAAACCATACCTTCTTTTTGACTAATTTTGGATATAATTAATGTTAACATTACCCACAGTTTGCTAATTAAAAAAAGCATTTTTAATTATTTATTGTCTTTTTATATTTTTTGGAGGTTGTTGTTTTCAATTTCTATTTCACTTTCAACAATATTTTTTGTTTTAAAGCTAGTATCCCGCATATGATTTATTATATGTTTTATCGTTTTGAAACAAAATGTAATTATAAGATAAGATTTCACCACAGACACATACATTTATATGGAACGAGATGATTAATACATGTCTCGCCAGACAAAAAAATCCTTCTTGAAGAATAAACGAACCACTCATATAATATGGATTATAAGAAACATATTGGTGGGGTTTTAAACAAACTATGTGTAGAAATAGAAATTATTTCAAAAACGATATATAGTCAGTTCCGTTAATTCTTATGTACATATTTGTAAAATAATAACATACATGTGTGCCTATACTCTTTATATTTACTAATAGCAGATGGGCATCATGGGTTGGGTTGATGAACTGAACAAGTAAAGGTGTTGTACAGTGACGCGAGGCGCAATAACTGTAATGTACCACCAATCGTACACAGCATTTGAAAAATATATATGATTTTTTGTATGTAAATTCAAAGCGTTAGCATAGATTTTCAGGAACAATTTTTTAGGATATGAGATAAATGTGATAAGGACCGCAATATCCGAAACATTGTAAAATTATTAAGGATTTTGTTCAAGTTATGAAGATTTGTTATTTATACAAGAGTATAATAATAAGAGTACATTTGACATTCATATCAGTAAATCGCCTAACTTTTGCCTGTAATTATTAACGAAATGAAAAAAGGCAAATATAAAATCATACACAATCTTAATAACAAATCACATGATTTGTATGCACATATAAACGCAATGACATTAGCACAGGACTTACTTGGATAATCCCACGAAGTGTGTTAATATATGTATAAATATGTATACAAATATCCAGATATACATTTAAATATATATGTTTTATGCATACATAAAAACAAAATTAATTACTGTGTTTTCACGCAACATTTCATTTCAATGAGAAAAGAATTGCATTTGTTTATCTTTTAAACTTGATGAAATAATTGTGATATAGTTCATGTACGAGTATTTTGAAAAGCCAAGATGGATGACTTGAAGTGATTCGAAAAATAAAGGACACATTGCAAACCCTGATAATATGATGACAACTGACATATTCAGGATAGCCTAAGTTTGCGGCTCTTATCATTTGCTATGACTTAAGGCTTGTTAACTATATACGAGGCATCTTGTGTTTCGGATTGTTAAACAAAAATGTACAGTGGCTTAGATTAATCGTACCTTCGAAAATGACTATAAAGTAGTTAGATTATTGATAAATGTGCGAAACATTTCTTATCAGTCATTTGAATTACTAGTGTTTCACTTAAATTCTTCTTAGTGTATCTTGAAAACCTCAAAAAAAGAAGATATTATTTCGCTTACAATTTTCTTTTATACCTTTCAAAAACACAAAAACAAAATGTAAAATAACATATGAACACTGAGCACAGGTTATTGATTAGAAAAGAGAAAAAAATCTGACACGAACTTTGACTTTGACTGTTTATCTTATACATCTTATTGCGTGATAGATAAAGAATCGCCGCCGACGCTTCTACTGAAAAATGACAGTACTTCGTATTATGCTTTGAACCATCGATACATTAAGTTGCTCATTTCCAGATGACTATTTAGTGCTTTTCTATGTTTAGATTAAGGTAAAGAGTGCAAGGACTAGACTAATAAATCTTTTCTTTTTCTTCTTTTTTATCAAACGTTGCGGTTTATTCAGAGAAAACCAGGTTTTCCTTCAATTAATCTGTCTCTTTATCCAAGTGGTAAATTATTAATGGTATAACAAAATGTTCAAACACAAACCAGAAAAGAAAATACTTGAAAACTAAAAAACATGTTTAAAATTAAAAGTAAGTGTTCGCCCGTACATCACTTCAGTGTTGCTATATTTTCTCTTGTCATTCGGGATAATTTATTCTAGTACATTAAATGTTGAAGACTGCATACTGCATAAACCGGTGCTAGAGGCACTGGTGGAAGCTGCATTTTTCCATATAGCCATAATGAACAGACTCAAATTAAGTCTGCAAATTTCATAGAATTTTTTGTTTACATTGCTTCCTTGGAATCACCCCTTTCCACACTGCTAATAAAGCATTGTTTATGAACGTGTTCCGTTAATCATCGAATTCAACAAACGCTAAGTCAACCATGTTTCTCCCAGTGATTGAAAGCAGTAAAAGACAAAGTTGATCAATAAAGTATTTCCTGTTTATGATTGAAGATGTTATTTGTGTTCTGCGTTCACGTTGATGATAATGCGCATGCAATGAAACAAATTGAAAATGCAGAGACCATCCATAATTGTACATATTTGAGGTGTGAATTACCATTGCAATTTCAATTTCCATATGACGCACGTAAAAGATGTGATGTTTTGGTGCTTGGTGACATACACAAATAAGTTAAGTTTAATGAAAATTTACTACGTTCAAACTAAAATTAAACTTATTTAAAGATTTAATGGCTTCGCTATGCATAGAATGTAATAGCATACTTATGGAAGCAAATACCTTAAATTGCAACCTGTACAAATTTTAAAGTTAAAGGAAGTATAACTCTACGTTGCATACTTAAACTAACCTTAATTATATATTTTATGGCTACGCTATGCAAAGAAATTTTATACCATACTTATGATATTATAAGTAATGTTGAAAGAGAAAGGAGATATCTTAAATTGTAAAATGTTCAAACTTAAAGTAGAATTATTTGTACATAAAAGTAGTATTACTATTGTAGTGGTTTTAATACATTGTTTTAACACAGTTTAATACGAAAATACGTATAAGCATTAGGAAAAATGAATACAGTGTCAATTTAACTAAATGTTGGAGTAAATAAGCAGTTATTAAGCGATAACGTTAAATATTTATTCAGCGGATTCGAGGAGAGGCTCGGCCTCAAGACAGTTTTCTATAGTATATTTGCATTAGCTGCGTAATATAAAGATTTGTTTAAGTCGACTTAATTCAAAAGGCATTTCTGAATATTTTAACAAAGATTTGCAAATAAATGATATCTTTATGCATTCTTAGTTGTTTTTAGATTGCAATTATATGATATCAGCCATATCGAGTATATAATCGAATTCACAGTACCATGTCTTTCAAACCTATACAATATAATGTGTACGTTGCCTTGCAGTAACAAGATTACAAGCAAACCGATCTCTGTAACTTTCTTGCGTTAGCCAAACAAAGACTAACCAATCCACCGTGATATTATTATCATAAGATAAAAATAAATAAATAAGTAAAAGCTAGGTTTAAAACAAACACACACATTTATACATGAACATGTCTTTAACGTTTCAACGTTTTCATTGTGTTGCATTGACGTTTACATTACCTTGAAGGCGTTATGGGAAATGAACACATTGTTTGATATAATGCTTATTTCCAAACGGTTTATTCATCTTGACAAGTAAAGCTCTATTGGGAGATATAATACAAGTTCTACAGCCTAATCATGTTATCTTGTCTATGATGTTTCTATTATTTTGCAGTTATTCAAATGTATTTTCTTTTTAAACAATACCAATAGTTTGTTTTGAGAGTGTGCAGCGGGCATGTAGAAATTCGTGTATGTGAAATATCTTCACAAATATTTGGTTCTTGACACGAACAAGCACACATATGGACAGGCATGTAAATATGCATTACAATGTATGTGCATGCATTAGTAAAAACTAATTTTCTACGTTGTTAGATCAAAAGCAAAATGAAAAGGTCGGTGCCAACCTGCGGACAGGGAGTTTAACAATGCTACTTCTAAATACAAATGATATGTGTTTATTTGTGAAAATTATATATATTTCAATGAGTGAACACAATTATTATAGTAATATAATATATGATTGAGCTATTTTTCACGTGTCAAATGAAATTTCATTATTCTTGTATATCGAACATGTGATTTGCTTTTGAATTCAAAATACTTTGTTTCCTTTCAAATGTTGTACTTCCACTTACATGTTGCCATATGTAACCTCATTCCATCAATCGCAATGCTCTAATTGAAATAAAATTGTGTTATGGAATTTAACGATTTTTTTACTTGTATATAACTTTACATAGAATTGAGTTTTTAGCAGTACTTAAATTGTAATAACATGATATATGCATCAAAATGTCTTTCCTTTGCATTTCAATTACAGCTCGTTCTTATAATTTTACACACTTTGTTATTATCGCAAAGGTTTCCATCGTTATATTTCAGTAATTTATTGCAATACATGTAATATCAGAATAAAAATGCACTCTTAATATTTGTTTTACTTTCTATAGCAAAGCTAAGATGAAATAGATAAAAAAAAAGCACCCTTAAAGAATCAACAAACCCCCAAAATGAAAAAATGTTACTGGCTCGGTTTGATGACGGCACAAAACATGTGCAAGCTACCGTCAACGCTCCCTAACTGAATTGAACATGAAAATGATTAAAATGTAAAAAAATACCTTACTGGGGGGATTCTCACTTTTTATTATATAAGAAGCAAACTTCAATCAAGTTTTCAATCAGCACACTTATAATGAGGCATAAGTGAGTTTACTACTACTCCTGAGTTATTCCATACTATCAGACTTTAATGTAAACGTAGGAGTGAAATATCATACCTCATATTGTAAACAAGTATATATGTCATGAAATGGTTAGTGAACTTTTGAATTATACAAAATATGTATTATTAAAATATATCAGCATAATTACAGTGCAAAATAATTTAGCTCAATATATTTCTGACAGAAATATTTTCTATTTAGTTTAATAAAGCAATCAACAACAACTATAATAAAGTTTTGTTGATGTTATCATCTCAAGCCTTAATGTGATAATAATGATAATTTAATGATGGTAATTTTGTTAAACTAATGTATTAAGTACACAATAGATGTAACGTTTCTGTGGAGCTTCTCGGTATAATATTTTATTACAGGTAAAACAATCATTTATCATCATGCATTAGTTATTTCAATTTCACAGATTCACGATTTCATCGTCATGAAATATCACTTTAATCTTTTCGCGATTTCAATTTCAAGGAATCTTGATGTTGAATTTATGCATTGACGAAGATGAATTTTCATATAAATGAAGTTAAATACATAAAATTCGTTACGTTCAAATCGTTTATGATCTATAAACTTACGCATTCAGCATGTAAATGTTGCTTCAAAATTGCACCTGTTGCTGCCTATCTTTGCAATGAATGTGGTTCATTCATTTTTAAGTTTTTGTATGGACCGGAACAATACATGCTTTCATGAATAAAACGAATCTTCTCACAAACATTGCTTCAGTATTGTTCAAGAATTTTTTGCGTTTCTTACCGTAACATTTCGATTACCTTTACAGTTTACTTTCATGAAAAATATATACATTTACTATATACTTATAAGTTAAATATTGAAAAAAATATTGATAAATATAAAATGGGAATTTTCATTTTCCGTATTTTCACTTTAAAAAATTATTTTTCACTGCAGTCTTTTCCGCATTTTCACTGGTATCTTGCCGGGCGACTTTCTTCTAAATTCAGCCAATATACAAAATGTAAAGGAAAGACTTTCAAATTATAATGTTAAAAAGAGACATATGTATATAATAAACAGAATTTTCAAGATTGTTCTAGAAATACTGGATTTGTTTTCATATTGTGGTTGGAAAATTGTCATTTTTCACTCGTGGCTGCCGTAATTCATGAAATACCACTCGGCGAAAATAAATCCTATATTTTTATAAAAACTTTAATATCCTCCATGTATTTGATAGAACCAATCTTTACAAATAAGATTTGTATTGCAAGCTTGAATTATCTAAAACAAATATATAATCGTTTTAACAAATACAAATGATTCAAAACATATCACGGGAAATTGTATTATTGGAATTTTTGTTCCTCTTATTGACACAAATTATACCATGAAACTGAAATGATAGAGAATTTAGTCTTTGATCATACTGTATAAAGGTTTTCAATTTCCTTTTAGAACATTAATCCACAGAATTTAATCAGGTTCAGGTGATTACAATATTTAGCCATAAAAACAATAAATTCGATTAATATTTTCTTCATTAACTAGGCCAGTCAAATAAAGAAAAGTGAGAAAAAAAAGTTACAAATCTTTTCTCAACAACATCCTTATCCTTATCTAATACATAAATGATCATCATATTTCCGTTAAATACGCTAATGAATTAATTAATTTAGATTCTAATATGTCTATTTTACCGAAACCATTCAATCACAGTATTATTTTTATATTCCAAAGTTCGTTTTTCGTGTATGAATGCATTTACATTGATAATATAACGTATGCAAGACCAAAGCTGTATCAATGGTTTGACTATTATATTTAGTCAACACCAACGTCTAAAAGCGATGTCTAAAAATGCATGAAACCTACACACATCATTAATGTTTCTCCTACATGTAAGTAGTATCCAGACATTTTTGTGTGTGTAATTTGGCAATCAAAATAACGTTATCATTGTCTTGCGTTATGTGTAAATTTACATAAATATTAGTATCATTTGTGTAAAATTATAATTTTATAAGTAATCATTGTTTTTTAAGAAGGTATTCTAATTTTAATAACTCTAATCGTTTTGTCACATTATTCATGTCTGCAAGTTTGAATTCGAATTAGAAGAATATTTGAAAGATATAACTGATGAGAAATATAGAACTGCTATCGCGAGATTTAGAAGTTCATCTCTTTACTTTTATATAGAATTTGGAAGGTAAAATAATACTACAAGAGAACAGACATTTTGCAAAT